ATTTGTCATAATTATCCAGTTCCTATTCTTCTATTGATATATAGGAGAATATGGAGCATGAAGGAGTGACTTTTTTAAAGAAATAAGCCTCCAACTCAAGAGAAACCACACTTGGACCTGATGTGGAGACTGTCATACAAACCTGGACTTTGAGCCTGATTGGATGGGACTTTTAGATTATTTCCATTGGAAGAGAATTCTAATATGTCATATATTTTGGGTACAGAAGGAAGATAACTGGATTTTGTTACCAAGTAGTGGACTAAGACAGAGTTTATTATTGTTTCCAAACATGTTATGCCCCTCCCTGTGGAACAATTGTACTTCCCTGCCCTGCTGATGTCAGGCTTGGTCATGTGAGTTGCTTGGACAGTAAAAAATGAGTCCAAGTAAAATATGTCACTTCTGAAGAGAGAAGCTTTAAGAATCACTGCAATCTAGCAACTCTCTTCTTTCTCTCTGCCACAGGCCCAGCAGTGTTCCACATAAGGGTTGCTTTGTTGGCTTAAGTTTCCAGAATAAAAACGTTGTGAAACTGAGCCATAGGCAAGAATGACTCACGATTAGCATGTAGCATGAGTAAGCAATGAAGCTTTCTTTTTGCTGTAAACCACTGTAATTGTGATTGGGATGTTGGATGTAGTATAACAGCCTAAGCTGGCTTACACAGGTGAGGACAAAGAGATATGACTGATGACCACTGTTCCTAATAGAATGACCCAAGAGACAGTACTATTAGATATATTTGATTACTTTAGTTCAGTAGAAAGCTCTGACTATAGAATAATACAAAAATCATTCTGTGTACGTGTGTGGTTTATAACTTACATGATGGGCGCTGAATTTTATATTTGAGAACAGCTGCAAGAAAAACAGCTGCAAGAATTCCACATGGTACTAGGGGAGCCCAGAAGAGAAAGCAATCATTCAGTTGAAGAAAAATTTAAAAACCCATTTAAGAAAAGAAGAGGGTGAGACATAATCTGTGCTCCAATCTGGTAAAATGTTAGAGTCACAATTCTTCCACAACAAATGGTAGATTTCCAACATGACAGAGAAGATGATAAAGGAGTCTTTGACATCACAATCATGTATTTAATGATCATATTGCATAAGGGCAAATGGCCATGAACCAACATGATTTACTTGCAATAGCTGCATCACAAAGCTGTTAAATTTGCATCACCACATATTTCTAAAGTGAAAACACAAAACTAATCCTTAAAACTCATTCCCAAAGCAGAAGTTTGAACTTGTAATAAACAAGATCCATATATGTACATGTCAAAAACAAGGTAGTGAATATCTGGCCCAGAGAAGACAGGGATACAGGTTATATCATCAAAAGGAATGTTCACTCCCCCACTGTGACATTTGAGTAAAAGAAAAATTGTGACAACTTGAACATCAACTCTGTCTTACAGAGGAAAAATTTCCTAAAACTCCCACATAATATAATTATGGAGGCCAGGAAGGCAGTCCCACCCTCTCAACTTGTTAATATTGAGGAGGAGAGAGACCAATGGTAAGAGTCTGAGATTGTGTTGCAGCTGTTACAGCTGTGGCTGTTTTTGTTGCTGTTACTACTGTTATTATTTTAGGTACAGATCTTTCTCCTCTAATCGCTGATTCATTGAGTCACTGTCCATTGTCTGGAGGCATTTTATTGTGGTTGGATAAAGGCTATGCTTTGAACGTAGTGAGTAAGAAGAAGTAAAGAAGCAATGACGTTTGGACTTTGGATTTTACATCCCCCAAGGCATTTATTCAACATGTGGCCAGAAGGCATGCCTTTGAATATGCAAAATGATTTCTATATTGCTCATATAACACACCTGAGAAGGTGGTAGGTATTGAAGATTGCCTCCAAATGCTCACCTACAGGAAAGAAACTGACAATAAGGAATACCAAAGCTGCCAAGAATAGGAAGCACAAAACAGTACAGCTTTTTAATGATGTATAAACTTAATTAGAAATTTCTTTCCAGCTTATTACTAAGAATATTATTTTCAACCTACAGTACCCCAAAAGATTCTCAAATAGTACACTCAATATACATCACACTTTTTAATACTATGATACGTTGCATAAATAAAACTAGTTTAAAGCATTGGGATATGAAAGATTCCAATTCTCTTAGCTAATAATACAGGAGTCACAAACTTAAATAACTGTAGGAATGAGTCAGGGAGAACCTCAGGGTTGGGGAGACAACACAACATATTGGAGAGTATCAAATCAAAATGCACACATCCCATCTAAAGGGGTGGCTACCACAAAACTCCATCAAGTATTCCCTTATAGAAAAGTAAGCCCAGTGCAGTCACCTGATTTTCTAGGACAAGTCAGAAATCCAGAATTTCATGTCAAATTCCTTGATTTTTAAATGATACCCACTAATTCAAAGAAGTAATAATAACTTAAACCCTGTGAATGGCAACAATGTATGTGCTCAACAAACATCTCTGCAGGACAGACTGGCCCAAAGACCCAAGTTTCCAGCTTCTGGGCTACCACTGTTGATCCTCTCCACTCTGCAGTTATAGCCCTTTCTCAGATATCAAAGAACACCAATGAAATGGGAGTTTCTTTTTGTTTGACATAAAACTAAAGTTTAGATTAAAGGAAAAATAGACATTTTGTCATCAAGTACCATGACCATAAAATTCCTCTTTTACAAGTAACATGTTTGGGGTGGGCTAGTCTTTTGGAGCTATTGTTAAATTTAAAGTAGGAACCAAATGTTATTTACAGAACTATTTTGCTGGGAGCACGATGTAGCAAGTATACACATAACTAGGATTTAAGAGAGATTCTAGGCCTGACTCTGCTGTTTTCCTCTCCAGAGTGAATAGTTGGGATCTAGGATAAACTGAAAGACAAAAGTGACTAATCATCTATAATCTGAAGTTTTTCCTATGCTTACTGGGTGATTGCTACTTGGAGGTTTGTTGCAGTGAGAGAACTTGCATGAGTTGGGGTACAGGATTCAGGGCAATGGATCAATCTATGGTCACTATTTTCCATGGTGTGGTCAAAAAAAAAAAATAGTAGGAAAAAAAGGAAAACGGGTTTAGGAGTGGCTCCCTGCAGATGTTTGAATAGCTTATAGAAGATGAAAATGTTATACCTACTTGTGTCCCTGGGGGACAGAATGAGAAACCAGGGACAGACTTCGCAGGAAGGTAGAGATACCCAAAGGTGGACTTGAGTTGTCAGCTTCAATTCATATTATTTCCTGAAGTTGAAAATATACCTCATTATTCACAGATTCCCTATCTGTGAATCCACCTACTCACTAAATTTATTTGTACCTTCCAAATCAATACTCATGGTGCTTTCACAGTCATGGTCATTCCCAGGCATAGGCATGCACAGAGCTGTATCTCAGTCACCTGCACACATATTCCCAGCTGAGGTAGAACAAGGCACCCTCCTGCCTTCTGCTTCAGCTCTCATACTGTAAACAAGTACTCTTTTCATGGTCTATTTAGTGCCACATTTTTCAAATTTGCGTCCTTTTTTGGAGGGATTTCACTGATTAAAATTTGCCCCAAGCATACTGCTGAAGGGCTGTCTAGCGTTCCTAGTCACGAAAAGGCTGTGATGTGCCTTACAAAGAAAACACATGTATTAAAGAAACTTCCTTGAGGCATGGGTTATAATGCTTTTGGCCATGAGTTCAAAGTTAATGAACCAACATTACATATTAAATAAGGTGCTTTAAACAGAAAAACACATAAAAGAAAATTATGTATTGATTGGTTTACAAAAATGCTGTGACCAGAAGCTGGCAGGAACCTAACCCCATATTTCTCCTAGGCGCAATGATTTTGTATCCACTAATTTAGCATTCAAGGCAACTTTAAAAAAAGATAAGTACCATAAATACAAGAATTATTAAATAGCAATTTGATAATCTCTTAAGAATGATGTCATGCAGAGGTTTCACACCTCAGATCAAAGGACAACAACAACAAAAAAATCATGCAGTGTCCTTTTCAGCCTCAAATTCTAGTACTCATTGAAGAGCTGATTCAGACCTCAGATGGTGGTTTGATTAATCTTTCACATCTTTGACCTCTTTCACCTCTCAAATACAATGATTCTACAATTGTTCAGGGAGCTGATTCAATCTCAGTTTCCACTTGTATATATTATGAAAATGGCAAAAAAATAATACCTTAGATCTCTTCCCAGCTCTAAAATTCTATAATCCAAGAAAAAGATTTTCCTAACACTTTCCTAGAAAAGTATACATTTTGCCATTAAGTACCATGATCATAAAGCTTCCCCTTCTAACATCAAATTCTATTTCAAATTTTTTACTCTCCATTCAGTATTTTATTTATAGCAATCACCAATTGCTATTTCTTATTTATGATTTTTTTAATTGGTTACTGTCTTTAATTGGTTGGAAGGGGAAAAGCCTCCTAAAGTTTTCCTTCATATCAAATATTTCATACTTTTAAAGAATGCTTGGAATCCCTTTGATCCCCCCACACTGCCTTTACTCATTCAAAAGAACTGGATCCAGAATGTTGTAATGGACCATGTGCCATGCACCTGCTGTCTTAAACCAAATGGATAATAAGCTGATAAAACCCTACAGTGCATCCCTATGAATATGAAATTAGCCTTGAAGTAACAAGCCTTGATTTCCTGTAACCCTAATTTTAGGACAAGCATCTTAGCCTCCTGAGTGGTTTTCTAGAAAAAACTCAGAATCACATGTGGTTACTTTTGAATCAGTCCATGAATCTGCCTGAACTGAGTAAGCACACAGCCTATCAAGTGATCTGGGCAGCAACCCAGCTTAACCATTTTCCTTATTCTTGAGGGTTTTTTTTAAAGGACCAGATCTGAAATTGTGTGATTATCTGCATAATTTAATATTACACATCTACAAAAAAGAAATGAGCTTTTAAGTGTGAGTGCCTCTAAGGAAGAAGAATCAATACACAACAAAGAAAGAGGCCAAACTACAGTGAAAGGGAAAAAAAGAGAGAGGGTTAAGGCTGTATCAGAAGTAAAATAGGATTGAAGAATAAGAATCAATACAATAATTCAAATAAAGCAACTCAAATTGTTTCAGCTATGTTTCTCTTCCTCCATTAAGGTCTTAGAGTAACTTGGTCATAATATTATCATTAAGTATCTCTGAGTATCTTAAGGATAACTACATCATTTGAGTCAGTATGATTTAATCATCTCTGAATTCATAAATACATGCTTAGGATGCAGGTGGTTGTTCATAAATGTTGAGTTTAATTAAAGAAGGCTGCTATTATTTTGGTTATTCATACCACTACTTTTCAAAAACTTATGACTCTCAAAGGAAGCAGCAGGGTCTTAGATCAGAGCATGTGAGTGGCCCAATGTGTAATGTCTTGCCAGCCTGGGGTGATAGGATGGGTGAAAAACAAAAGCCAAAAATACTAGTAGAAATGTAAATAGAAATGCATCATCCTTTCTTCCCTAAAATAAGATTTATTGATTTGTTCTTAAATGTACCCAAGTATATTTGTCTTCACCTAGGAACTCGAACAGATTTTTGAGAGAACATTGGTAAGCTTAATATTATCCAGTCTAAGATTTAAGTTTTACAGCTATGGTGATTTCATTTTATCATGAAACCAAAAATAATAGAAAACCTCTTATGCTATGCTCATGGGCATCAGTAAAGTCCAAAAGTATTTGTCTCTTATTTCCCCTAACTTACCTAAAACTAAGTTGTCTTATGCCATTAACAAATTATAATAAAATCTTTATCATCAATTTAATCAATTAATTTTATAAATAAAATTTAAAATGAGATGAAATGCAGCTGTTCACATCACAGATGCACCTTATTATATTCAACAACAAATACTTCCTAAATAACTACTATATACTAGGTGAGTGAGGCAATAGGATGATTGGTAAATCATAATCTCTACCCTCAGAGAGATTACAGTCTTGTCAGAAAGATAAACAATTATATAGTGTGGTATAATATAATCTCCTAAATACTATATCAGAAGTAAGCATGGCATGGTAGAATGGGGGAGATGGTTGGGTACATGTGAGGGGAACATAACCTAGATTGGAGTAGAATTAGATCAGTCTCTAATGTAACAGTGATTCTCAAATTTTTATGTAAATCATAATTACCTGGAAGGCTAATCTAAACATTGATTGCAGGGCTCTACCTCCAGATTTTCTGCTTCAGTAGATCCAAAGTGAGGTCAAAGGATTGGTAGTTCCAATAAGTTCCCAGGTGAGATTAATTCTGCTAGTCTGGAGACTATACTTTGAGTTCAGTTGCCCTCAAATAACCCAATTGTAGAAAATTGTTAACAAATTTACAAATGCAGTCTCAGGAGCCTATACCTGGCCAAACAGTAAAAGCAAATTAATAAATTTATTAGGACATGATAAAAAAAATATTATAATAGAGGTATTTAGAAGTCTCCTCAGAAAGACAAAAAAATCATCTAAATCATAATGGTGAGGGATGTCAAAAAATGTTCCTAAGGTAAGATGATATTTGGGTTGCTTTGAAAGAAAGAATTACTATATAGAAGAGGAAAAACATTTCAGGCACAAAAAACTGTATGTGAGAAGAGTCAGAGAGACCTGGGTTGGACCCACTTTCACTTATTCTAAGAGCATCCATCAAGTTTCTTATCCCTTGGTAAAATGGGTCTAACAGTAGTAAGTTTACTAGGTGGAACTGTTGTGATTACATGAAATAACATATGTAAATTTGCAAAACACAATGTCAGGGTCAGAATATATGATCAGCAAATGCTGGCTACTCTTATTGAAGATGATGAAGTTATTATTGTTGCTTTTGTTTCTACAAAACAAAACTTTATGGCTATAAAGTATTGTGAGCCATGCCAGATGCTACATATAGGTCCTATGACTAAAGTGTAACAAGTAAAATTTGAAGATAGAGACTTGTAAGATCCATTTCATGAAGAGCTTCATGTGTGCTAAAGCTAAATGGCTTGAAAATTTTCATGAAAGTTGTAAAAATCCATTGAAAGGTTTTAAGCAGGGAATCTACAAAGATCAGAAGTACATTTTAGAAGGATAATTTCTAGGTGGATTCATGGGTGCTAGACAAGGAAGAAGAAGACTAGTTGGGAAGCCACTGAATAATCCAACCTAAACTAAGGCAATGACAATAACAAACCTGAAGAGTCAGAGATGGATTCAAGGGTACTTGCATTATACATGGAGAGGAAAGGTAGGTAAGATAGGGTAAGATGGAATGGTTAAAGATGACTTGCAAGTTTCTCCTGAATCTGAAAAAAAGAGAAAAGAAAGCTCAGTTAGAATACACCCTCACACCATACACAAAAATAAACTCAAAATGGCTTAAAAACTTAAATATAAGACATGACACCATAAAACACCTAGAAGAGAACATAACAAAAACATTATTTGACATAAATCATTCTAATGTTTTCTTAGGTCAGTCTTGCAAGGCAATAGAAATAAAAGCAAAAATAAACAAATTGGACCTAATCAAACTTATAGGATTTGCTCAACAAAGAAAACCACAAACAAAACGAAAAGACAACCTACAGACTGGAAGAAAATATTTGTAAATGATGCAACTGACAAGGGCTTAATTTCCAAAATATACAAACAGCTCATACAACTCAACAACAAAAAATACAAACAACCCAATAGAAAAATGGGCAGAAGACCTAAATAGACATTTCTCCAAAGAAGACATACAGATGTCCAATGGGCATATGAAAAGACACTCATCATTGCTAATTATTAGAGAAATGCAAATCAAAACTGCAATGAGGTATCACCTCACACTGGTCAGAAGAGCCATCATTAAAAAGTCTATAAATATTGGAGAGGATGTGGAGAAAAAGGAATGTTCTTACACTGTTAGTGGAAATGAAAATTGGGTCAGCCACTATGGAAAACAGTGTGGAGGTTTCTCCAAAAACTAAAATAGAGTTACTGCATGATCCAGCAATCACACTTTTGGGCATATACCCAGACAAAACTATAACTTGAAAAGATATATGCACTCCTATGATCATAGTAGCACTATTTACAATAGCCAAGACATGGAAACAACCAAATGTCCATTGACAGATGGATGGATAAAGAAGATATGATATATATATATACACAATGGAATATTACTCAGCCAGAAAAAACAATGAAATAATGTCATTTGCAGCAACATGGATGGACCTAGAGATTATTATACTAAATGAAGTAAGTCAGACAGAGAAAGATAAATATCATATAATATCACTTATATGTGGAATCTAAAATACAGCACAAATGAACATATCTACAAAACAGAAAGAGACTCACAGACATAGAGAACAGACTTGTGGTTGTCAAGGGGGAGGGGGAGTAGGGGAGGGAAAGATTGGAAGTTTGGGATTAGCAGATGCAAACTAGTATATATAGGATGGATAAACAACAAGGTCCTACTATATAGCACAGGGAACTATATTTAATATCCTGTGATAAACCATAATGGGAAAGAATATGAAAAAGAATATATATGTATAACCGAATCATTTGCTGTACAGCAGAAATTAACACATTGTAAATAAACAGTACTTCAATAAAATATTTAAAAAAGAAAAAAGAAAAGAAAGCTTGGGGTTTTGAGCAAAATTACATTTAAATTTATTTATACATTCTTAGTGAGTCACACCTATTGTGTTAATAATCAAAGACACAACATGAATGCAAAAGGCAAAGAAAAATGAATCAAACAAATAGAGGTCATTAAAAGTTCATGAACTGCACAAAAATATCAACCTTTCTTGTCTTAGAAATAAATCTTTGTAATTACATCTCAAATTGCAAGCACAAAATGAAGTGTTTCAGTATCACTGACAATAAACATTGAGTAAATGTACTTAAAAGAAAAAAAAAATAATCAACATCAGATTTGACCATTTTCCACCCACCTACCCCTGCCACTCCTTTTTGCCCTGTCTGCACCAGCCCCTACCCTCATCATCACAATGAATGTCCTTGACTTACAAATCTCTGTGTTGAGCAAGCTTGGCCTATCCCTATTTACATAGGTCACTGAATACTGCAAAAATTCTAGATGATATTCTGTTGCAAGGCTTCTTATTCTTTTTTGGGTCATGGGCAACTTCAATGATCTGATAAAAGCTATAGATAGACCCTCTCACCAGAGAAGAACTGAGGTACAAAATTTGCATTAAGATACAAATTTTTCAGTGGTTCAAAGCCCTGAAGGGTATATAAAATTCCTATATTTGGAATTGTTGCTATGGAGAATAAAACATATGTCCATTACAGGACAGACACATGGCCACAGGATAAAGCATTATAAAGAAAAGAAAGTCTTCTGTTATAGCTATACTGAAATCCTCTAATGCAAAGTTATATAAGGTCTTTAGAATGGATATAAGGGAAATGACCTAGAAAATAAACTTTTCAAATGTGTTTTTTAACAACAGAATAGATTACATACTGATATAAATCAAGGGACCAGGGAAACACCTTGTGATAATACCAAGGGCAAAGCTAAGTAACCTGAATCACAGATAACAGAAATTAGCCTGTGAAGGTTTAATTCCTCCAATTTTTAGAAAAGATGCTACAAATAAGAGAATCATAATTACAACCTTCCATAAAAATTAAATTCTAAAGACTTTAATCATTAAGAACTCATTTCAAATTATATCTAAAGTAGAAAATGTTATTTCAGAAAAGAAATTATCATTAGAGGTGATTCCTTCAGGATACAGTAGAATTACATTTGCTTAGCATTAAGTAGAACCATTTCTATCCAAGTCAAGCACCATTGAAAAGAACCAGGATAAGGGCTAAGGAAAATGTTCACTGATAATTATTTAGCTGTGCAGCCCACATCAATCTATTCCACTTCCCACTCCCAGACACCTTCCAGAGGATGACCCAAAAGTTGCTCTTCCAAAATATGTGTTTCTCTTCATCATTCCCAGCACTGCCATTGGCCTCTGCTTAATTTTT